TAGAATTCATATTGGTAATACTGTATGTTAATAAATTCTGTTGCAAAATATATACTAACACAATATGTTACTGGAAAGATAGTAACGCAAAACGTTACTAAATAGAGATTACCGAGGCAGAAATTCAGCTTCATCTAGTAAAAATGTTCGCAGACGAGCTTTAATCGTATCCGCTTTCTGGTTTCATCAGTTTACAAGCAATAAAAATGCTGCTCCAGATTTATCATGCAGAAGTTCCCAATGAATCACAGTTTGCTGCTTCAAAATGTTCTGCGAAAATGAGTGAAGCAATCGGAAACTCTCTCGCATCATTAAGAAAAGAAAACTACTCTGTCTGCTGCAAGAAACTGTATTTCTCTGTGAAAAAAAACTATTAAATGACATAAACGCATTTTGCCTTCCTTACAATTGAAGATGTTCACATTTGCAGAAGTTTGAAAATTATTCTTTGACCCAATCCGTTCTGCCTTCTTAATTCGATTAGGATCAACGAAACGTAAGAATATTGGAAAATTAATTGATGTCGCATACCTTACTTTTCAATTTAAAGATTGAATAATATGCTCTGATTCAATATGCCGTGTTAAGAACAGACGCCAAAGTCCGAAGTCGAAAAAACTAACGAACCGATTTGTTATTCGAGAAAAGGAAGCCGACACCCGTCGTATGCCCGACGTAAGCCGACCAGTGTCGATTCAGACACGAGCCTCGTCCTCTCGAGGACAGACTCCGCTCGTTATCCGGCCGGATAGGGACACGCGGACACCCTCGCCTTGACAGAGACCGATGTCAGTGCAAAGTGTTTTGCTTCAGTCCGCGTTCGCCGTCACTCACTTTCGCTCACGCTGCCCGTGTTTCCTTTCGCGAATGCTCGTAAAATATGAGCAGCTTCTGAGCTCCACGCCCGCCTGTTAAAGGCTGATCCACCGCGGAATTCTACGGAACCCGTCGTTAGCCACTTCATCATGGCGATCCGAGGCGGCGTGGATAAGGCCATTAGAATTCTGCGTTTCCGGCACCTCGACCTCGCTCAGGAATCCCCGCCGGGACCATTTAATGCTGGCTTGTTCCAAAGAAACGAATCCTTCCGCCGTTTTCTGCGACCGAGACTGATGAATGCGTTCGTTTGAAGAACGCTGATGAATCGCTTCGATGAACTTTTTCAACCTGGTCGTAAGGAGTTCTTCAGTTTTCGGATTTCGCGCAGTGTCGCTAGGCGAGCAATGAGTCAACTTCGACAAAATTGTACTGTGAAACAAAATTTGAACTAATTTGCACATGCTCTTAAGATTTTACTATTTTCTAGCTTTTATAACTTTCTTCCATCGTTATAATTGAACGACAGAAAATCTGTGGTTGTTGCGAATGCGGCGAACAATGTGAGCATTACTTTGGAACGAAATTGTTGAAAATATCGGTAAACGGCTTCGGAAATCCATCGCGCTCATGAATTTTTTCGAAAGCGAATTTTTGGCACACAAAAGAGCGGTCCTCTGTTCCTGTCACACTGTTTCGCCGCGGCTCGCGCGATGGAGACAGCAAGTTCTTCGAGTGATCGCTTCGGATGCAGATCGTTGGCGGGCTCAGTCGCGGATGAAATAGAGCGACAAGGCGACAAATTAATTGCATTTCACTCGGGCCATTGTAAACGCGGCCTGAACACCGCCGACGAGCGAACGGATCTCGTTTATTCCATTCTCTCGTTCGTGAACGCGGAACGTCCCTTCCGAAGAACGCGTAAATGCATGGACAGCACACCGTATTCGACAAGTTTACGATCCACTTTATGAACACCGGGCGAGTTCGGAACGGTGAAAGGGGTGGAAACGTCTATGATCTCGGTCAGCGGAAGTTATGAACGCCCCATTAATGTTGACGACGTCGGTCAAGTGTCACGAGGAACCGTAAACCAGACAAAGCACACGCATCCCGACGCTTTACTACAACTTTTCTCGCCGGTTCGTCGAAGAATCCCCTTTAGAAAGGGGATTCGCGGCTTGATTAACATGTTTAGCAATTTTTCAAAACTCGGAAAATTCAGTACATAATTCGGCGAAACTGTTTTTCTGCATCTGACACATCCAATCTAATCCTTCGTGCTCGATTTAATACTAAACTTGTAATCGAATTTTGTATTTTACAATTGAGCCGTTTATTTTGAAAGTGGCATAAATCACTTTTTCAAAAAAATCGAGTTAATGGTAACACTAATTACAATCGAACGGTATCTTTCCATTAAAAAAAAAAAGAAGTGACTTATGCCACTTTCAAAATAAACGGCTCAATTATGAAAATTGTACAAATGCTTCCATTGGAAATAATTAAATCACTTGTTCAAGCACATATTATAAGAATCGAGCAGAGTCTAAATAAATCCACTCGTGTCATTTTTGACACGAATGAAGCAACGAGCAATATGAATCAGTCTCTTTTAAGGCTCGATATCAGTGTCGATGATATCACTCATGATACGATAACGCTATTACTAACACTTCGACTGCCGGTCCAACAATTTCAAAAATTCTAAAGAATGAAAATATTTTTGTCCAATTTTTGGTACACTGTATACATCAAAATTCAAGTTTAAATCTGGACAAGTGTAATCTTTCGGTGTTAAACAATGCGAATTACAAATTATGTACTACGATTTTGATAGCACAAGAAGTGTGCGAAAGGAGTAACGCAGAACTGTCGGCGATGTTTACAGCAAATAGAAGAGCTAACTAATGCACAGACACACGCTAGCCGATCCATATACGGTGACACACAGATACCCGGTGAAAGTATTTCAGATTGTAATAATAAATAGTGTTCGTCACGTGCAATGAGATCGGGAGATTAATGACGTGCATGCGAGATTGCGTTCTGCGGTTGCGATGCCAGTAGAATGTGAACGCCAGTGGTCAGACAGCTGTTTTCTTGCGACGACGCCAAGCCGTTCGCAAGTTAAAAAATCAAAGTGTACCGTGTACAATGTTAAAGAAGAAAGTACAATTTTAAAGAACACATTCGTTTCTAAATAGATGGAAAGCGTTCGTAATCGAGTAAGATAAAAGTACCTATTATGGAACGCTTTTCAGGATGTGTAAGATTATCACCGACTTTATTACAATTGAAAACTGTTATTATTGGATATTTATATTACTATTCGATAGATCGATGTTTCTAGATAATGCAATGAACTTTGGGAAACTTATTTAGAACGAATAGAAAATTATACGAGTGAACTATTCTATAATGGAACACAGTTTTCGTACCATGTACACGTGGTTTAAAATTTAATGTCCCATTTGAATTGTCCATTCTACGATGCGAAGCAGTATGTACTTGCCTAGAAACAACCATATTCTAATGAACATATTTTTACAGCAGATTTTTACAGTTTTCGCGTGAGTAAATTTCTAAAGAACAATGTTCAAAAATATGGTTCGAATTTTTACATCCACTTTCGCATGTTCCATTTATTTTTTTACTGTATCATATGCACGGCTGTTTCAAGAATTGGTCGGGATCGAGAGGTATTTCTTAACAGGTACTTTAACCTCGGCAGAATCGAACGACCCCTTCGGCCAGGCGGTGGCGAGATAGGGAATTTATTCGGCTGACAAATTAGAAGAGCCGCGGAGGTATTCGTGTTCGCCGGGGAGGCGGTTACAAGGCACGGACAATGTCTATGTGAGCACCCGATCACTGTCCAAGACCGCGGGCCCGCCTTCGAATTCCGCCGATTCCGGCATGGTCGTCGGATTCCGCGGGGCACCGTGGCATAGATCATGCTGGCCAGACGGCGAGTCTAATCGAATCTTTAAACGGCCGCCGGACTCCATATTTACCGACGCCGTTAGCAGTCGCTCGCGCTATCAATCATTCCGAGAGCGTAATTAGAGGCTCGCGAGGCTTCGTCTCTTTTCAGTTTACTTTGTCGCGACACGGAGCCGCACGCCGATGTTATAAATGTATAGTTTGTAAGCGTGCCCGCAACTCCATACCACGGCCACGGTTTTATACGCCTCGACGTTTCCGACGGTGGCGGAGCAGATGATGAAAGGAGTATATGAACCATGCACGCCTCGGGCCTTTAGGCTAACCAGATACGTGCTCTATGCGTCCGCGGTCGAACTGCTTTAAGTCGCGTTCCCACTTCCGGATGCCGTCGCGTTAACGCTCGGACAACAGAGGATTTTTATGATTTTTTGACCATTCCGGTAATTATACGGAACATGATTAATAGCACCATTTCGGTGGCTGTTTGGCAGCTGTTTTCTACCGTTTCGAACATGGTCAAACGGCTGGAACAGCTGCGCATTGTGCGCGCGTCGCGCACCACGAACAAAGACACTTCGTCGAATGTTTTTTTTGCCACAACGGACGACGAAAGTATCCTGACATGCGAACGTCAGGACTTGCAAATGTTCGACGTCATGGACAAATCTCTCACGCGGAACAGTTTGTTATATTGTTGACGTATTTGTATTACCAAATCAGTGTTAAACTTATTTATACAAGAATAAGGGACAAAGATACATGAAACATCCAGATCGCGAGTTACGTTACAACAAAATCCAAAGTGTTGTTAAATTTGTTCATATCGTAATTAATTAAACTGTAAAGAGCGAAGACTAAAAATTGAGTAACTAATAACGAATAATATTAATGAATAATTAATTATTAATATTTTATTGACTTACAAACGTATAAAGATGCAAAGGAATGTCAAACACGAAACAGGATCAATGTAACAACGAAGAATAATTTTATCAGCGTACTACATTCAAAGTCGAACGGAACGTGTTCGCAAACGATGAAGAATACCTAAACGATAAAACTGGCAAAGTTTTAAGAAAGAGCTAACCGAAGTCGCGTACCCACTTTTGAACCCAGTGGTACTCGGATTGCTAAATGAGAAGCGTGCGAGGGAATGCTCTCGCATAACTACGAGGTGGGATCACGGCATTAGCCAGCTTGGCTCGGGTCTTAGTACATCCCTACATTGTCGAGAAATAGCCCACGCAACAGTGTCTTGGCGAAAATTATCCGGCACAGAACGTACTTGTCTGCGATCTCGAGAAGTCACTCGCGGTTGTCAGTTACCAACGATGGTGTCGGTAACAAACGAGTCCATGTACAGAACCAGCCCGGCCGTCTACAGCCGTTAGCGGTTTCAAAGGCTTTGACCCGTACGCCTACGATTCCGTGAACACGCCGTGTAACTCGGAATTTTCGACGATTTTCAAAGGGGATCTGGCAGGATCTTTATATGGGATTATCTTCTGATGGAGTGAAATTATACGGTGGCCGAGCCGTACGCGAGCTTGCCACAAAGTAAGTTCAGGTAACACTTCGGCGCTTTCGATACAAGTTAAGTCCGATTTCTGACTGTGGCCCGGTTATGGCGCAGTTACGACTCGCTCAAGTACTATTCGCTGCTCTTCGAGTGGAATAAAGACTGATTTACATTAGCCTTTAGTTGCGGCGCGACCGTTCCTCTAGCCTCGCGCTAATATACGGCTTACCGATTCCTTACGTGAGCTGCATCTCTGGGCGCCGGCCAAGTATCTTGAAGAATTTTTGTTGATTAAACCGGCCAGCTATCGATTCATTGTCGTTTAGCCTAGTCTATGGCCGAGGTTAAGTCTAAGCTGGGTTAAACGGAAAGGTTTAATATTTTATGTTTTACGTCTTACGTTCGATGCTTTATGCTCTATGTTTTAGGTTTTAAGTTGAACGTGCGAGCGCAATGTATACCGGAGGCTATATCCTTAAGCCGCGAAAGGATCAGAATTACATAAATAATAATAATACTAATAACTCGAAAGCTTAAGCAGACCAAATTTCTGGTGAATCTGTTTGCGATTTGTATTACTTCGCAAACGTCTGCGACTCTGCGCTACAAAGTCCCTCCGGAATACAGGGAAACTGATCTAAGCAGAAGGTCAGAATGTTCCTGCGGTTCTCAGGATTTTCGCCTCAATTATGCCATCTCCGCGGCAAGATCAACACACCGTCCGAAAATATACTTTTAAATCCAAACATCATCCGCGCCGTGCTCGGTAACCAGATCCCAAGCGTAAATCATATTTCCGCTGTTCAAAGAGGAACACGCGTAACGTCCCTAAATCCTCGAGTGATTTAGCTGATTACCGCGACAACGTCTCGTCGATGCTCGTTTTTAATTGTCCCACGGTAACCCGAGACCCGCAGCCCGATGATTTATGGACCCTAAACGTCGTTTACACTCTGCTTTGGTAGACCAATATTAGACTATCAGACGGCGACAAGAGACATCGTCGCCCTTTAACGTCCGCTTCTTCCCTGCGCGGCTATGATTTACGCTGCTTAAATCCGACGCGTTCGTTCCGTTTTCCACCGATGGCTCACCGATATTTGTGCGCCAGCTTACCGCGAATTCGTCGACGGTCCCCGGAATTCCAGATTCCATTAAACGTGACAGTTGTGGCCGTTGCTCTGACGAAATGATTTCACGGCCGGTGCCGATACGATAAATTCAATTATATAGCGTATTTATTCGTAGCGTCTCAATGGGACTGCTCGAGTGCGCTGTTCTTGGATTGCTATTATTAAGTTTGAACGGCCCATGGGTCTGGTTTTACCAAATTCATAAGATTCATAAGATCGGCTTGAACGTCTGTTATCTTTTAACGAGACGCAACATGGAATGCTTAGAGAATCCTAATAATTTAATAGTTAATCCTTTCATTTGTCTTTATATGATTTATTGTGATTATATTTTATATATTATTATTATGATTATGTATATTTTATTTATGATTATATTATCTACAAAATGTATTATTATACTTTTTCATTCTATTCAGCATGAGAACAAAATTTAGGAATGCTATTTCGTTTATTCATTGTCACGTTTTTTGATCTTACCTATCTGAACATGAATAGATATAATATTACCACAGTAACGCGTAAGTTTATTTAAATTAAATCTGATATTCTACACTAATTCAGTGTCTAACAAAAATCGTCTTTCCAGTCGTTCGATGCCTAATAAAAATATAAATAATAATAGCGATAAAGATCGCAAAAAAAAATATATTTTCGATCGGTAGAAAATGCAACGGAACATCGTAGAGGGTCAGAATTATTCTGTCCATCATCGCCAAGGTTCCCGGCGAGCCAAGCTCGGGCCGAAGAATTTACGATCGCCGGATTAATGTATTTTTACTTCGATTTCGCTGCCACCATCTTGATATAGGAGCATCCGTCGGTAGAATCTAATTTTAACCGAATTTTCATGGTAACGCAGCCTTTGCTCGCACGCGCCTGTCAAGGGGATGATATTGTTTTCTTACTCGATTCTTTTAATAGTGAAAATATTTTCTCTGCTCGCTTCTGACTCGAAAGTAACCAGCCCTTAACACGGCCCCCGGTTGTCGGATTGCTCGTTTTTAAACCGAAGAACTTCAGCACGTTCGCTTGACAAATGAGTCGTTTGTCTCCGAAAGTTCGTCGGTTTTACTTGTTTCACGAGAATAGAACTGTCGGAAAGAACTTCTCGACGAAAACATTACAGAGAAATGTTTCGCGACATTTTCGACAAGAACCTGATACGTTTATGACAAAGATAGAAGCTGAAAACTGTAGAAAAATGGAAAGAATTTAGAAACATCGATGTGTTAATTATGAAAATAGTTTAGAAGGAAAAGGCAAACGTGTAATAGTTATCTTCTTATAGAACAACTTCTCGTTCTCTCGTAAACCAGATTTTTATTTTGTTATTAATTAGCTTTCTGTTCTCGTACAAATTAACTTTCATATTCTCTTGCAAAACAACTTTCACCACAGAGGAAAAGTAATCCCGCAAGAGAAAGAAAAGAAAATGGCGAACAGAGCCGAGAACATTGAACCACGGTATGCCGTAATGGCGATTCTTCAAACATCGAATGCTCGTAATGTGCCCACGTTGAGCTGCGATGAACATACGGAAAGACGGCACGGAATTGACTTTCGTGTCGATGTTACGGTGCCGTGCCGTAACCGTGCTCGTAAAATAACGAAATCAAAGACCAGGATTTACGAGTTCTAAAATTGTTGGAAACTTTGCACCCCTACGGTCGTTATAAATGTACGCTTGTATCGCGGTCGGTTCGAACTAAATATGGTCTCGTGCGGGAGGCTCTATCATCGAAGAAGGTTGCGTGTGGCTCTAGAAGGAAACTAATCGAAAATACTACTAACAAACAAGTCTTAGTGTCAGTCCTTACACGTCGCTATACGCTCCCTAATTTTTCTTCAGCTTGTCATCGAAAATGGACAATTTGGGAAGAGGAGATACGATTAGGCCTTGCGTCTCGTTTTTATAATTGTTGACAATCGGCGACTATAAAAATGAGCCTCGAATAATTGTATCTCCTCTTTCCAAATTCTCCATTTTTGTTTACAAACTGAAGGAAAATTGCGGAGAATTTATTGTGTATTTATTTACCTCGATCGCTTATAAAATAAGAAAGCAATAAGCGCTTTTCATCGTTCCTAAAAGCAATTATTTTCTATAACAAGCTTTAACATTTATAGATCATTTTCGTGCAGAATAACCTCTCCTCGGAGGTTACAACTAGGTGGATAAATGAAAAAAGAAAAAATATAAAAAATATATAACGTTCTTCTGTTCCTCGTTCAATATAACGTTAGTAAGGTTACATTTGTCTAGAAGTGGAAAACAATTGAAAGTAAATATTTTTTTAAGATGATCTACAGAAACCAACGAAAAGCAATGTGCTAAGAAACTTTTACAATAAGTATGAAATCTGAGATTTTTTTACTGTTCCAATGAAATGCAGTGGAATTACAGAATCTGCCTTTATTTTGTGCCAAAGTAATTTCCTTTCTGATCAATAGAAACCATAATGGTTAATATAACGTGCTATAAGTTTGTACGAGAGCAGGATACCTCTAGAAAACCACATATTTTCAACACTTTTAGAACTCCACCTGAGCGAAAAGTACCAAATCTGTTTAATAAAATTTGGAAAGGTTTCGGAAAGAAATTATGAAAATTTTGTACGAACTAATAATCAAAAATTAAGGGGAAACATAAATAAAAGAATAAAATTGTTAAGAAGTACGAAGAAAACAACAATTTCTTGATTGTAGTCATGGTATTAAAAGGGTCAATGAAATAATAAAACAAAACACCGTAAAGTCATCTACGAACGAAAAAAAAGTATGCTATTGTCATTCTACCGTAAACCAGTCCCTTTAACACTTAAAAGAAGATTCGAGTCAGTTAGACCAGTTAGACAAAAAAGTTATTGCGTTTTAAAAGGTGGTCGAATACTTTTTTGCCGGGGGTGGCATTAAATTTCTCCGAAAACATCTTCGATACGTCGACGTGGCCGCAACAAAAGGCGCGTTTCTATCCACATTCTATCGTGATCTATGCTCCTCCTCGGCGGCCGTTCTAAAAGCAACTCCGCGACAGAAACGAAAATACCAGGCGGGCGACGCAGCGTTCACAATACTTTTTTCTAGAACACCCTAATCGCCCCGACGGGGAAAGAAGAGGAAGCCAGCGAGGAGAGAGATCCGCGGGAGCAAATGGGGTACATGGAAACGACCGGGAATGTGTCGAAAGTGAATGTCGTTTCACCGGGAAATCTTGCGCGCGTCTATTTCCGTCGTGGTTGCCTCGCCACCCCCGTCCAAACACCACCACCGGGGCCCCCCACGACACGTTGCAGCATAAGGACCCTCGTAAATATCATCCGATGCCTTTGGCCGCTGTTGTCGACGCCGGTCGCGTACTCCTTGGTGGAACACCGACCGCGCGCCATTAGGCTGATCGGGGCTGGCGGGGGATAAGTCGCTGCGAAACGCGCATAATTCGCGTGGCCGACCCAATGAGAATTATGACTGGTCGACGCGCGAAACGCTGGCGGGGTTTGGCTCGAAATTTTGGCACCATCGCGCGCAATATTTGATCCGCGGGACAAAAGTCGAAAATTCGACGTGTAAGATCCGAAATGTTTTGCATCGCGAAATATTAACCCTTTGCACACGTGAAGCCATTTTATTTGTAAATCCGGAGGGATGAAACATCAATTAGGTAAAATATCAGTAATAAAAAAGGGTGTACGTTACATGTAGGTGATCGCTTTAATTATTATCACGCAAAGGAAAAATATTAAATTTGTTGTATTAAATGTGTCGTTATTGTTGTTCTTGTTGTTTTTTTGTTTTACGTGTATGTGTGTTCGGACATATTGAATTATTTCATGAATATAGATAAAGTATTTTAAAATTAATTCTTCAAAAATATTGCCAGCCCCTAATGACGTTTCACTGCGTAGACGTGCGGCCATGAAAGTGTTAATAACGAAATGTAGTTACAACTATTCACAGTTTTTGCGGAATATTCCACTTTGCAGTTGAAATTTAATGTTGAAGTTTCATGGAAGAAACCAATGGATCCTCTTTAATCTAATTCTCGTAAGACGAATTCAGCGCCATAGAACGTTTACAATCAGCGAATAATTGTATTACAATTTTCCATACGAAATGTTTGTCAATTTTAAAGAGGCTTTTTGAAAAAGTACCGGAACGTCAGACGTTAAACTTCCCGTTAAAATCAGTTTTATTTGCACGAGTTTGTTCGAAATCTAAATAATATCAAGATCTTGATAAATTGACGAACAAGAGAATACAACTCAACAACTGCATTCTATCAAAATGTAAAAAATTGATAGAACGTCTTCGAGCGAGCAACTTCGTGGTTCACACAACGCGAACTGCACGAGTCTCTTTATTCAGATAATAAAGCCGAATGTTCTGTTTTAGATGCTGCAAACAGGAGACAAATCTTCAAGAGCTGGTAAGAACGACGATCTCTCTCGCTGTCACATCCAGTGAAATAAAACCTCCAATCTTCTTTTGCATCATGCGTATCCCACTCGATCCACCGAATCCATTAGCAGAAAAGTTCACAATTCCGTCTGGGTAAATAACGTTCTATTTTTAAGAGGCGTTCGATGTGTTAAAGACTGATAATCCAACGAAAGTGACTAAACAGAGGATCAGCAGAGATAAATATACATGGCCTAGTTTGTTAATGAACGTCCTTCGTCCTGCGTCTGACTAATCAATAGATAGCATCTCCAATTACAAATGAAACATCCCCGCGGATTAATCTACCCCGTCGTCGCGTTGCTTCGTACTTAGGCGACNTTGTTCTTGTTGTTTTTTTGTTTTACGTGTATGTGTGTTCGGACATATTGAATTATTTCATGAATATAGATAAAGTATTTTAAAATTAATTCTTCAAAAATATTGCCAGCCCCTAATGACGTTTCACTGCGTAGACGTGCGGCCATGAAAGTGTTAATAACGAAATGTAGTTACAACTATTCACAGTTTTTGCGGAATATTCCACTTTGCAGTTGAAATTTAATGTTGAAGTTTCATGGAAGAAACCAATGGATCCTCTTTAATCTAATTCTCGTAAGACGAATTCAGCGCCATAGAACGTTTACAATCAGCGAATAATTGTATTACAATTTTCCATACGAAATGTTTGTCAATTTTAAAGAGGCTTTTTGAAAAAGTACCGGAACGTCAGACGTTAAACTTCCCGTTAAAATCAGTTTTATTTGCACGAGTTTGTTCGAAATCTAAATAATATCAAGATCTTGATAAATTGACGAACAAGAGAATACAACTCAACAACTGCATTCTATCAAAATGTAAAAAATTGATAGAACGTCTTCGAGCGAGCAACTTCGTGGTTCACACAACGCGAACTGCACGAGTCTCTTTATTCAGATAATAAAGCCGAATGTTCTGTTTTAGATGCTGCAAACAGGAGACAAATCTTCAAGAGCTGGTAAGAACGACGATCTCTCTCGCTGTCACATCCAGTGAAATAAAACCTCCAATCTTCTTTTGCATCATGCGTATCCCACTCGATCCACCGAATCCATTAGCAGAAAAGTTCACAATTCCGTCTGGGTAAATAACGTTCTATTTTTAAGAGGCGTTCGATGTGTTAAAGACTGATAATCCAACGAAAGTGACTAAACAGAGGATCAGCAGAGATAAATATACATGGCCTAGTTTGTTAATGAACGTCCTTCGTCCTGCGTCTGACTAATCAATAGATAGCATCTCCAATTACAAATGAAACATCCCCGCGGATTAATCTACCCCGTCGTCGCGTTGCTTCGTACTTAGGCGACACACGGGCGGCTAATTATACGAACGAACTTAGAGATGCGAAAGATAACGATGAACGATTAACCCGAACGCTTCCTCGCGGCAAGCCTCGTGTCTTCGAAACCGGCGGAATTAAAGAAGTCCTCTTTGATCGTGCTAGCCAAATGACGGTAGACGAGAGACAGGAGCTCGCAAATGTTCCGCGGACGATTACGCCTCCGATGTAATTTACTGCGCGGGAAAGCGACGTGCGGTCGTCTCGTAACCCGAGAACGAAGGAAAATCCGCGCCGGGCATCGCCGATGGGATTAATATGCAAACTGTCCAACCAGCCGGTCGTCTCCTCGCGCGACATTTGACACGTCTGTCGATTTATGCTCTCGACACGCGAACGAGTCCATGCAGTATCCATGCATATTCCTGTTACAATATTTGCAGTACACGCCCGCGCGCACGCGCGCGCGCGCGGCAAAATATTCCGCCAAATATTTACAGTGTAGAGATATTAAAAAAGGAAAAAAGCATCGGATCGATTCCTTCGCTGCCGTGCATATGCAGTTGCGCGAAAAATTGCGAGCCAACGGTTCCACGTGGAAAGAGCTATTATATCTTTTCATTCGTTTATTTCTTTTATTTTTTCTTTCTCGAAGTTCGGATATATTTGCGAGTAGGAAACATATTTTCTGCAATCGTACGTGTGGAAAACATTTTTCAGTAATCATTAGATTGTGTATTTTATGCATTTATGATAGATAAAAAGAATTGAATAATATCAATAGATTATTTGGAAATTGTTAAAATTATTAGAGAAGGACAGATATGTCCGAGTGGCTCCAATTTCATGAAACTGATGGACAACGTTCCTATTTTGCACAAAGATTCGCAGTCCGGTAATTATGTATTTGGTTGCTCGGAAAGTAATTTCGTTCTTCAAGGAAAAAATGCGATACGATCTTTTAATATTATTCCACGATTCTCAGTTATTTTTTTGATAATGTGAAATCGAGTGTTTTAGAAGACTCATGCTCTTTATTGGGATACAGATTTAACCTTCTTAATGGTTTCTTGAACATAAACAAATTTGATAATTTAAACATTATTTTCGACGTAACAATTTTCATGTCTCAGAGTCTATAATTAATAAATTTTACAAATTAAATTAAGTTAATAAATTTTACACGAAAATCGAAATTACTTTACGAGAAACCTAATAATACTAATTCATTGTTTGATAAATTCTATACTTATTTTAAGAAAAGACGTATCGCGAACGCTTCGTTAGAACGATGAAGGATCTATTTCTTTGAAATGAAGTACCACTGTTCCGTTACTATGTATTAGATCACCAGGGAAGACCTGGCCAGTTGAATCGAAAGAGTTAAACAAGGCACGTCGTGGACGAGACAATGGCTTATTTGAAAATGTAATCATCCGGCTGCTTCTCCAATAATACATTATAAAACTCTTTGTCGCTGGTGTTTCAAATCGAACGCGTATAGTGTAATTACGGTAACTTGCACGCTTTCCAAAGAGATTGCAACAGCTAACTGTTGCTTAACCCATTACCCGCTGCAATTCAAAAATACAAAAAAGAAAGAGGTTATTAATTTCAATCTGAAGTTTACAATGATATCAAACAAAACAGCTTTCGTGGAGCACGTGATATGTCCTCAGTATTTCAGTGCCTGTATTTCATTTAGAAGTTGCAGTTTTCAAAAGAAAAGAAATTGAAAAAGTGTCCCAAAAATGGGACATTGGCTGATAACACTGTCTGACACGATTTTTGGGTTCCTATAGCCACTATGAAATTCTTGTAGAGCTTCACTGCCTGAACAAGAATCCGAAAACCGAATTGCTCCATCACCCTCAGTTTTTTAAATAGACGAACTTTTGTAAAAACCCAAAATTTTCGACAAAAGTGAGGTATTGCATGAAAAGTAGAAACGTTAGAAAGTTCTAATTGGTGTTAAAAGATAGTGGCATGCAATTTATTAATTGTTTTTGGTCCTAAATAGCAGTGAATTGATGTTAAAGTTTAAAAAAGTGAAGCGAGCAGCGAAGCACATGGCGGCAAAACGACCTACTCAAAATGTACATCGTTCCGACACTTCTATCGGGTCGTTTCTTCTTCAGAAATGTCTACAGAATCCGATCCTGGGTAGAGTTTTCGTGCTGAACAAAGAACTTTTCGTAAAAATACAAAAATATTGCG